TCGAATGTATCTATACTATATATATATATATATAAATATAAATATATATATAATAAATAAATATATATAGCACCTAATAAAAATTCGACGTTATTTTTTTTTTATATTACGATCGATCTAAAAAAAATTCTCTCGCGATCCGTAACAAAAATTATATTTCTCGCGTTGGTTCGAAAAAAAAACAAAAGAAAAAAAAAACTAAACGAAAGGGAAGCGAGAGAAAAAGAGAGAGAGAGAGAGAGAGAGAGAGAGCGAGAGAGGGGGAGAGAAAAAGAGAGCGTTCGCGCGTGGTATCGCACGAGCCGGCCGATGAGACACACCACGACAGACTAAAGCTACCGAGGGTAGAAACGTGTTCCATCTCTCTCTCTCTCTATCTCTCCATCTCTCTCTCTCTCTCTCACTCTCTCTCWCTCTCTCTCTTGCTCTCTCTCTCTCTCTCTCTCTCTCTCTTTCTCTCTTGCTTCCTCCCTCTCTCACTCTATCTCGTTCTCGTTTTCTCTCGTTCTCGCTCTCGCTCATTCGTTACGTCGCGACGCCCTCGCGCGGACACGAACCGCGTCGCGACGCTTAAATGCGCCGACGCAGACACCGATGAAGACAACAACGACGACGACGACAACGACGCCGTACTATCGTTCGAGCGGGTTAACGTTCGGTCGGTTATACGAACCTTTGCACTACATCGATCGAATAACGGCCCTTTTTTCTTTTCTATTTACCTTTTTCTAGGTTTCCTTTTATTTTGTTTTCTCTTTTTATTGTCGTCTCGATCCTCGATCTTATTCCTCTCCTTCTCCTTCTTCTTCTTCTTCTTTTTCTTCTTCTTTTTCTTTTTCTGCATTTTTTATTATTACTATTTTTTTTCTATTTTATTCTACTTTATCTATTATGTTGAGCTTCTTTTTGTCTTCATTCATCCTCTTCCTCTTCCTCTTCCTCTTCCCGTTCCTCTTCATTTTTCTTTTTCTTTATTTCTTTCTTCCTTTTGTTACAGCTTATGGCTTATTCGATCGTGAAAATACATCAGAGTCATGTGACATCGATCGACTTTTTTCTATGATTGATCATTAGAAGAAGAAATCAATTGTGTTCGAAAGGTAAGATTTAAAAAAAAAAACTTTTTTTCTTGTATTCTCAATCTCATGGTCGCTAATTGAATATTTTATTATTAATTAATAAGAATTTCTTTATAGAATATATGAGATATGTCTGACGTGAAAATGATGAGAATGAATTATATTATATCCTTTATAGAAAAACAATTATTATATATGTATATATAAACATTGGTTTGTAATATCGAATGAAAATTTTGTTATAAATCATTTCATCTTTTTATTCAAAATATTTATTATTATTTATAAAATATATTATTACAATTGTAGAATTAAGAAGTGATATCTTTTTCGTTACATTGCATCTAATATTTTCTTGATAATATTATAATGAATTGATATATTAACTTACACCGAATGAAAGAAACATTTTTAACATTCTTTCATCTATTTGTTGAATCAAAAATCTCGAAAGAAAGCGATCTTAGTATGTAGCGAGTATAAAATATCAACACACAATTTTCCTCTATTTGCATCTAGGAGTATGCAACTTGATTGCTATATGCGTTTGCTCGCATGATTTAATTTCCTTGAAAATGAAATTATTCGTACTTATCTATTCGTTCCTAGTTGTACAAATATCAGGGATATAATTTTAAATCTCATTTTTACGTTACTTTCGTTGAATCGACAAAAAAAAAAACTCGAAAAGAAATCGAATAAAAATGCGTTTGATCAATATCAAGGATCATATTAATTTATGAATTATACTTCTCGTATTCCAGGAAAAGGGGAAAGACCATATGTGTGTGTGGGTAATAAAAAAAAAAAACTCACTTGTAGAAATTTGTTCAACGAGTTTTATCGACAGTATCCACTAACCAGAATCCTCCAACGTGTCTACCTCATTGTCGGAAAAGTACTTTTTTCGAAACACACGTGTAAGTATAGAGATAGATACATGCATAAGTTACGTATTGACCTTATTCCAGAGTTCATGCATGGTATCCCTTTTCGTGTGATGAGATCGAGGAAGGAGCCAACGAAAACGGACAGTTGTAAGGCCACAAGAGAAAGTTTTTCGTTCAATCTACTTTAGCGTTCCTTTTATATTCGTTAGAAAAAAGAAAAAAAAAAACGCGATAGTCGAAGATAGTACTTCTCGTGATATAATTTCAATCTAACGACCATACCCGTTTTTTTTCCTACTTAAGGTTTATCTATCATCTTGCGCGTGTTACGATCTTTTCTTTCGAAATGACACAAAAGTTGTTTGAAAAATTAAACGCTCGAGATCAATCTTTAAATCGGTTTATAAATAATTCGAGAGCAAGAATTTAAACGTTTATTTTACGATCTATTGGAAAGTGTGGGTATTTTTACACGTCGTTTATTTATTACATAGTACGTGTACACACACACACACACACACACACGATATTAGAATATTTAAAGATGTTAATTTTTGAAGTAAATCATATTAATTTTAATAACACGAAGCGCAACAATTCCGTTGTCACGCGATATTTCGAAGCGAAGGGATTAAATCCTCTCGAAATTTCAGCAAACTTTTTGGAGCGTTACGATTATTGCTGGCAGAGTTCCATGATTCTACTCGCGTGCACTGAAATTCTCGAGTTTGTTTTGAAATTTCCGGAAATATTGCGAATAGATGCAAACGACGAAATATCGCATTACAAGGAGACTACGAAAGTGTTATGGCAAAAGGATAACGTGCCTTACGATTAAACACTGATTAGTCGTAGTTCGAAGTACTGACGTAGTCATTTGCATTATTTGATTGTACTTAACTAAGAAATACTTTATGCAAATACTTCATTCATATATTTGTTGTTTAATATTAGAAAAGAAACATCTCATTAATTTGTCTTAATTGAAATTAACTATGGAAGGTTTCAAAGAATTGGAATTAAAAATCGTATTAATACTATCAACGAGTTTTAATAGAATTACAAAAAAGAAATAACATCGAACAGTACGTGCAAAGTTACGATAAAAAGGTTCAAGTGGAACTACTATATAACAAAGGGGTCATACATAAAGCATTTTTCTCGTATCTGAACGATGGAAAAGGTTAAAAGTGAAAAGTGAAATAGCTATTTGACAATTGATTTAGAAGAACGAACGAAAATCTTTTTAACCCAACGTTATTCGTTAAGATACTTTGAAAATACTTTAAGTTGATAAAATATACCTCAACGATTTTTCAATAACAAAGTCAAAGGGAAGAAACGATGCAATGCGAAGTGTTACAAGCAATAATTGGCTAGTATCCAAAAACGAGGTCATTTTACTTCTAGTCGAGGTATCCTGAGCGTTAGAAATTAGCAAATCGAAGGTTCCTCTAACGGTTTGAACGAAGGCGTTAAAGTGACAGCTAGATGGTTTGCATCGTGGTTTGTCATTAAACTATTTCGACGAAATGTGGTAGATTCTAAATCACGTTTCAACCATTACGAACAAACTACTCGACTATGTGTGTCCATGTTTTCCCGTCGAACGTCAATCGAAATTATTTGCCAAAGGACATTTTGACTGTTCCAAATGGCATGCATGAGTAGTTTACGCGTGTTAAATCGTAGAGAGAGAGAAATGTTCCATATGTATTTTTGTTCATTTTTGTTTTTTTGTCTTTTCTCTCTCTCTCTGTCGTCTGCAAATAGAAAATGTAACATGGAACGAAACAAAAAGCATTTTCTGGTTTACGAGTAAAAAGCTTGTACTTCTAAAGAGAAAAAAGAAAGTAGTAGAAGGCTAGCTAGCCAACCAGCTAGCTGGATGGGTTGTTCCGAGTCACCGGGGAGAGAAAGATTTTCGAAAAGGGCGAAAAAGAGGAATAGAAGGGGTGGGGGATAGTTATGGCAGTAGTAGTAGCCGTTTGGCAAACAGTGCCCGGTAGATTTGAAATCGCGCGAACTTTCAACATCGGCCGAGAAGATTTATGAACGGTCTTGAAAAATGTTATCCCGAAGAAAAATGGAAATGTCATGTCTCGCACCACCCTTCGTAGTCGCGATCGTTTGTCCCACTGATGGTTGATCTCACCATAAAAGCTTACACCTTTACCCCTGTTTAAACAGAAGGTAGAAGAGAGGCTTATGCTAATATAAAAACTTAAAGGAGAGATAATTTTTGTAAATTGGACAAATAATACACGTACCGCGTGTAAATAATAAGTCGAAGAGATTGTCGTGTTTCCTCATTTTAACACCCTTAATATATTATATTTTCTGAAAGAAGAGGATAAAATAACACGGCTAAGAAAATCGTGATCTTTTTATTCTCTCCTCGTTTCTAATCTTTCTTTTCTGCTTTAAAAAAAGAGCAGAAGAAAATTAGACTACCGTAATATCCGAGAAAGAACTTTTACCTCTTATCTACGAAATTTACTAAACACAATTGGATCGTTTAAAGATTATTCTATCGTAAGGGAAATAAAAAACAAAAGAAAAAGAAACCATTAGAAAAGAACGAATGATTCATCTGACATCGATATCGGGCTACTTCGAGAATAAAATAGACAAAGAAAATGGGGAAAGTAACGATTCACGTGTAGCCCAGAAGACAATTCGATTCGTTTTATTTTCTTCGAAACTTAATGGATGTATCTAGAAAAACTATTATTGTATATATATCGAACTATAACGTTTTCCTAGAGTTTCTACACACTCTCTAGGTCTTTCTTCTTGTTCTCCCATTTCCTCTGTCTCAACACGACACTCGAACCCTTAACCCTTCAACCACTTCCTCCTTCATCTATTTTCCCCTCTTCACCCACATTCACCGTACCTTGTCGCATTCGCGTTCCACTCTTGTTGGTAGCTCTAACAAAGTCACGCGAGCATGCAGACTGGTAAGCAGTTTGGGAATGCTTCCAACGAATCGCTGTTGGTACGTGCGGTGGTACCAATGCATACACACACACACACATATACATACCTACAAACATACATACATTCATACATACATTATGTTACACATATATTCACTTTTAGTACATTGCATGTCTTATCTTCACGTGGTATCTACGATCACGGGCCAATGACCGAGCGTTAACTTCGCCTTTCGAAAACTTTCTCAGCTTTTCCTGTCTCTCTTTCTCTCTCGTTCTCACTCTGTTATCCTCTTATTCTCTCTCTCTCTCTCTCTCTCTCTCTTTCTTTTGTACTCGAAAGGGAACGAGATACATGATAAGGTAAAGCTGCACACCGAGAAGTACGGTGACTCGCGGTGACTCTTCTAATCAGTCCTTTAAATAACGAGCACCTAAAGCGATAAGTAAAAGGTAATGTTACTTCGAAAAATATACGATCTTAGGAACAACGATCATCGAGTTTTCTCTTTTATGTTAGGATAAAATTGCGTTCTTTTTTTTTTTTTTTAATCACAAAAGGGTAAGGTCTACATATAATAGATATAGATTTCGCTATGTGATCGTAATTCTTGGAAATACGGTAGTCGAACCTAACGAAGGCTCGCGATAAAAGCTTTCTCTCTGAGTTATTGATTTCTTAGTTACGTCACGTTTGCCCCTTTTTCCTAGATTGTATAGCATACCCTGTAAATACCCTGACTCTATCAAACTCGAATATAGTTGCACAGTTCTATTTCGAAATTTCGATTATTTTTGATCTCGCGCTCGTTTAAACGGAAAATAAATCTCGAATGTGTTTTTTAATTTTTCTTTTTTTCTTTTTAATCTCGTTTAAAAAATTCATTAAGATTTGTGAATCGTTAATTCGTAATTCTCAAGCCCCTAGGAGACGTTTTACGAAATATCCTGGAAAAGCGTAAATCGCGCAGCAAATTAGTATAACAAACAGAACGCATAATACGCATAACAGGATCCTCCATTTGTAGTAACGGCAAACCACGTGACGACAAGCTCTCCATGGATTGAAAAACCATGAGAATGAAGTGTCCGGACGTCTTGAATAAATGAAATTTAATGATAATAATTGTCATTTGATTTGATTTGATTTCTATTTATATTTCGTTAAATTTCTTATCTCATAATCGAATTTGTGATTGTATTGAATTTTATTTAGACTTACTTAGGTGGTGGAAGTTCTTCCGGTGGATCTCTTCCTTTACCTACTGGACGTTCATTAGCCTCAACTCCCCGCAGAGTCGACAGTTCCATTTCTATTTTCCCCTGCAATCGTATTTTATTGTTCAATCGATTTCCTTTATATATAGAAACGTTTCTTTAATTAACGTTATATTTTAGTGTATAGAAATAAATAAAGAAATTTATACCGTTCTATTTATATTTTCCATAGAATAATGTAATGTAACATTTGAAAAAAGAAAAAAAAATGAACCTCAAAGATCAATTAATTTATACAAAATAATAATTGTAATACTGCTTGAACGTATTTAGCATCCTCGGTTCTTCGTACGAGTGGCCACCAAGCTTTGAGACGGGAAATTTTGAAAAGATTCACCGTTGGCAATTTAGAATCGAGTACTTTCATTGTACAAGTTTTTGAATTGGCGCTACCACGTGGCATCTTCGACAAGTTTAATGTCAGTGCACCTTAAAAAAAAGAAAAAAATGGTAAGAATAACGATCTCCGTTCGGGGTCGGAAATATAGAATAGCCCCGAGGTATACCCTGCCTGTCGTAAGAGCCGACTAAAAGGGATTTTTTCCGTAGATCACAAGTGGAAACGTAGACATTTATCGATGATAATAATAATAATAATAATAATAATATCAACCTGCTGACATCCTAGAAATATTTTATATGAAATGGTTCGATCAATTTTCGAAAAAAAAAAAAAAAAGAAAGAAAACATCGTGAAATTTATACGAACGAATAACGAATAAAAATTAAAAACGAAATAATAGTACTTACGATAAATTCATTTAAAATGAATAATCTCTGAATGAATCGTGTAGAGTAGAATAAAATTACCAAGAAAATCGTCCGCGGAAAAGTGATCGCTGTCCCAAACTTCGAGATGTAGTTTGCAAGGAAGTTTCTCCTCGGTTTCGTTTCTCGCAAAAACGAATAATTTCTTTCGAACGATCATAACGTTTTCGCTCTTAGAATAGACCAAGCGAAAGACGAATCTCCAATTAAAATTACCTTCGCCGCTTAAAGAATTGTAATGAACGTCGGTCTTCTGTCGGTCTTCTGGCAGAATCCAACTAAAAAATCGATAATGGAATTTAGCGAGGAAGAATAAAAATTAGAATAAAAATAAGATGAGGAGGAGGAGGAGGAGGAGGAGCAGAATGAGAAGTAAAAGGAAGAAGATGAAGAAGAAGAAGGGAATAAATTACAAAACTATTTTGTAAGAATTTTACATTAGGCTTTAGATCAGCTGATTAATATATAATATAAATTACCCTTTCACATAAATATCCGATGACATTTCTCCCGTGAGAAATTGACTTTCCACTAAGGGAACATCTTCGGTATTCCAAACTATCACTCGAATTTCATATTCCTCTGGTACGAGGGGAGAAATATTGACCGCAGGTTTTGGGGGTAGGTTTCCAATAGGAAACATGTCGATCCAAATTTCCAATCTACCCTGAAACATTGAAATAAATATATACGTTCTACGTAAAATCGTTTATGCAATTTTCGGACAAGCCCGTATAATATCGTACCTTTCCGTTATATTTTAGAATAATATTGTAACAATAAAAGCAACACGAATTTACAATTTATTCTCTTACTTCTCTTACACCGACCGTTTATCATATTTTCTTTTTCTTTTATTTTCATTGCAATATCATTTTTAGGAAAAAGAACGAAAGGAAATCTTTGCGGAAAGAAACCTTTGGAATTGAAAGAAGGGTAGGAGGGTAGTCGGATGAAGGTTGCTAACTTGAACCGATGATAAAATTAAAATTGGACCAACAAAAATCCAGGATCTAACTCTCCTTTCTACTTCCTCGTTTCTTTTTTCCTTCCTTCCTTCCTACCTTATATTTCTTGGCTCATTTTTCCCGCGGGATGAATGATAATAAAAAATAAAAGAAATAATATGGAAGAGAAGAAAACCTGTTCGAGGCCGGGTCTTGTTGCATTGAAAAGCGGACGTCTTTCGATGTGCTCCGGTACCAGGGCGCATCCGCAAATAGGAAACTCTTGCCATTGATGAAGCACGTTCAAAGCCATGCATTCTTCTCTGTCTAAATAAAGGTAAAAATAGTAATAAAGTATAAAGTATGAAATCGTGATATGTCTTCTTAGTTCAATTCATCATATTTCCTCATAGTTTTATTTTTAATTTTAAATTACTAATCTATCTTGAATTAAAAAGATCATTAATTAAAGGTTCATTTATTTAAACAAGATATTCGATCATATCTAATTTAATTTGTTGATAATTACTTGTTTAACATTTTAACCGATCGGCATGAATTTTCTATATAAGTAAACAATTTTGCACTCATTTTTGTTCTCATTAATATTCCTTACCTGTTTCATTGTTAACGATCGAACGAAAAGAAAACTTTCGTTTACCGATACGAACTTCTTCCCTATCATAAACAGGTATCGGTAAATTATTCTTCTTGCAAAGGAAATCAAGAATTTGTGTTGGTTTCTCGCGATCTCTCCAAGCGTTATAACCAAAGGTTTCATAAGTTCTCGCCAATCCACAGTTAGCTCGATGTCTACTGTAGAATCTGTTTTCGATATCGATTTTAGTTTCACCGATTAAATCGTCCGTGGTAGTTGCGTCGTGATCCCAGACTTGAATGGAAAGCATGTAATCTCGAGGGAAGGTAGCATCCATCTCAAAAACTCTGAAATTATTCAAGCGAGTCTTGATAACATCTAAAGCATATCTTATATAGTCTCAGTTTCGGAGGAAAGATTTTAAGCTTGGTAACGTTAAGAAATATTCGTAGAAAATCTATTTGAATTTTTTATACAGATATATATATATATATATTATTTTACTTTCACATTCATTGGTGTACTTCGTAATTAATGAAAATGAAATTAGATGGGAAAGATAGTATTCAATAACATTGAGTAAAAATTTAATCAATTAGATTGTATATATACTATACTTTATTTTTTATACTGGTTAATAATTATTTTCTTTTATTTGTACCTGCCGAAAGTAGGATTAAGTTGATTAGGTATATGATTCTTCCTGTCATTTATAAAAATTTTTCCTAGCTTTACACAGAGATACGGATCAGACTTTCCACCTAATGGATCCTTAGGATGTAAATGAATTCCTGTAATAAATGAAGTTAATATGTTTATGTTATTATCTGATTTGATTTTTTATTTTGTTTCCATTGGCCCGATCTTACTTAATGGTTACCTTTTATCACGTAAACTCTAACGAGAAGTTTAACTGATTCCTGAGATGGGTAATCATCGCATAAACCATTAGCGGCATTTCTACCGTGTCTCGTCTTGCAAGATAAATTTTCTGGATGTGGCCAACGATACACGGAAATATGTCCCTGTTAAATGAAAAATTACTTTTCGAATGTTAAAAAATGAACATTTTTTTCATAGGCGAAAGTGTGTCCCGGTGTTATTCGCGGAGATAAATCGTTCCGCGTTTGCCCGCCTTAATTTATCACTCGTTTTTATTTCGCAAATAAAATCCAACGGGGAAAAATTCGTATTTTAATAATCTCTTCTAACGTAATCTATTATTCCTTGATAAATGACATAATAATCGATCTTACTACAAAAATTCCCATTATTATCGATATAAAATAAAAAAAAAAAAGGATACATGATTGATAGATCAACGTAAAACAATAGATAAATCAAGTACGAGTGTTGATCTATCGTACGTGTTGATCGATCATAATTAAAATCTTAGTCAATCATGTTTTTTTTTATATTTATCATAATTATGTAAAATCTATTATAAATGATCGCTAACTTTGAATTTTCCTACAAGACCTTCAATGCCATCATCGAGATTTTCAATCCTCTTTCCTTTCCACAATTCGAAAGTAGTTAATCTATCTTGAAATCCATCGAACTCTGGTTGAGTTTCCAATTCCTCGGAATATATCTAATATCAGTTTGATCGAGACTAAAGTTTCGTATAGATGATTATGGAAACATACCTTGAACGTCGCTACGGATTCTTTTCTTGCAATGTTTGAAGGTTGTACAGAGAAAGAGGAGGTGGAAGAGGAAAGTGGAATAGCAACGAATTTTCTTCTACGTTCTTCCTAAAAGATTCTCCGATTAGAAAGAAAATCCTTTTTGATATAACTTAAAGTTATATATTTTTATTTTCTCATATAACATTTCCTCTATTTTTAAGAGGATATAAATTCTTGGATAGAAAGCCATTGGAAAAAGAAAGAACTTTATCTCAGTTTTAGTTAAATCCTTGAGATATATGGTAGGATTATATAGAAGATACAACTGTATTAATGTTCAAGCTGAAGTATAGAATAATATGATATAATGTATAATATATATGTGATTACAATAAAAGAATGCAATCTGTCAGATATTAAAAAGAGAGAGAGAGAGAGAGTGAGACGGATATACAAATACCTTTTACTTTATTTTAATAAAACATTATTCACATATAATCCTATGCAATTCTGACACATACATACATATGTGGACAATTTTGGTTTTCTATACATTTAACACAAATAAGAAATTAATTGATATAATATTATATATAAATTTCAACCATATGCCATTATAGTTCTAACATTATTCATCCCCCACGTGTAATTAGGGTAATAAAATTAGTAATAAGAAAACAATGAAATTATATTATATATTTATGTACACAAATGTGTATGGCAGGACAAAAAGGATATAGGGGAAAGATAATAAAATTATCTAGTATATATAATTAAATTATTATTAAAGCTAAAATGTAGAACGGTGTGTGTAGCTAATAGCAATTAAAAAGATAGATAGAGATAGAGTGATAGTACATACCTCGAGGGAAGCGAAATATTTGCTCCACCAATCAAGACTATCATCGTGCATCTCCGTACCATAATCTTCTTTTCTCCTCTTTTTAATTAGCTTCCTCCATTTGAATAACTTTTTCACGTATTCGAAAATATTGAAAGTTTTACGTGGAAACCCTTTGTAGGATGTTTTTTTATATTCCATCAAACCCTTGCGTTCATCTTGAACAGTAGAATCGAGAGATAAGACATCTATGAACAAACAAATATTTTCCATAGAGAAATTACGTTCATTCAATTTTCATATTTAATTTTCAAATTTAATGCTCGTTATGAAATGGGATAAAAATTCGAATAATTTTATTCATTCAAAAGTTTTTTTCTCAATATTTCTTTTTTCTATCCTTATCTTTTATTATTAATATAACTAATTATACTATTTAATTCGTTTAATAGAGATGTTAACTTTGATCGTTTGAATTATAAAAAATGGAGGCAAAAATGATCTAGTAAGGTGATTCGAGGATTCGGCGAAAATAGTTTTCATGGAAAATTGAGGATAAAATTGTTACAAAAGTCTACGTCTTTTCTATGTATCTTTTCTTTTCTCTGTCTTTTTTTTTTTTTTTTATTTTTCTAGAGAGAAATTCAACGTGTTGTTACTCGAACATACGTAGCTCTCTAACGTTAACATCGTAAAATCATGGTTCTGCGACGGGAAACCAGACGGTAGCTTGGCAAATGATCAAAGGCTTTACTCTGTTAGAATTTCTATCCCTTGAACAATTTAGATTATCCGAGCAACGTTCTCTCTCTCTTTCTCTCTCAATCTCTTACATGGTCGTCGTTTAATAGAAGTGGCAGCAGTAGGAATAGCAACACCACGACCAAATTTTCGTGCTGATTTCGTTTGGTATATTTGTGCTTGATAATCTTCATCCGTTATTAATTGTTCGAGGAACACATTGACTGTTGGAATTATGCAGATACCGGCGTATTTGAAACAGCCAAATCCACGGGAATCATAAGCACGTATCGTAACGCATGGATAATACTCGTCGAGTTCTGGCATCTCCTTCAAACGTTTGCAAATGGAATTTGTATGATGATTAGGGAAAAGAGAAATGACTAATGTTTTTCGAATATCATTGAATATATTTGATCATCGATAGTAAACTGGCCTACTTTTCCTTTCTCATTTCGAAATTCACATGGTCGCTTGTCAACACATACACTTATTCTTCTACATTAATATAATCTTTCGGACATGCATCAACCGACCATGTAAATCTTGACATTCTACAATTTCGATTTTTCACGGTACATACATATATATCTATTTATCTATATCCATAATCCGTCAACTGTTGAAGATATTTTAACGAGATCTAGCAAAACTGCTTTGTACGTTAAATTTTTTCATTTAATCGAACTGTCGCGTAAACCATTTTTTCACTGAACGTTACCAAGTACAACTAGCTTTGTCCGCGCGTCCATTGTATCTATAGATTTAACAAATATTCTTTTACTACAGTATTTTTGATAGCAATAACTCATCAACTAGATATGCGACGCGAGAGGCCAGTATCGATCATCCTTTGACTGACAGGACGTGACATGTGAACTGAGAAGAAAATTATTTATCACGTTCCTGAATTTTCTATAAGTTATAACAATAGCTTTGTTGCTGTTGATGTTGTTATTGTATTTAGCATTTAATAGTATATATAATTAATATGTAAAAATATTGTATTACCAGATCAACCATAACACGTGGTTCCTCAAAGTTACTAAATTTCTTAGCATTTTCCATGACACGTGATTTGATGACCACACCAGCACACTCGATGACAATTCTTGGCCGATAAACCGGTACCCAATGTAATTTTCTCATATCTCTAACACCCCAAAAGATCACCTCCAACCGATAACTCGTCATTTTCGGTCTTATTTCCGGAGGTATGTTTTTTATTTCCTCTTGCGTTCTCTCGTCCAATAGTACGTCGACCATATCAGTTTCTTCGGTCTGCAAAATCATATATTTCATGTAGTATATCTCATAACATTTATCTTATTAGATACAAATATATAAATGATGATATTGGTAATATCAGGATGAAATTCTTTTTTTAGCTTTTCCTTTTACCTCGATAAGCTCTAAAGCAGCTAAAATGGAGCCGGTATAATTCTTTCCAGACTGAAATCTGTACCATCCTAGTTTCGGTTGGAAATCTGGCGGTGAGTAAGTTTCCGTGGAGAGTTTAACTAATGGAACGGCGATGCACCTTCCGCAAAACTCCTTCATACCCTGTGATTTTCGTAGAAAAATATGTTAAAAATTCTAGACACGGTAAACCGGATCTTCTCTCTCCCTCTTTCTTTCATTTTAAATCGAAACCGAAGATTTGAAACGAAACAGCTAGAGGTGGGAGTAGTATTGATAAATAATTTCACCAATCGTCGTTTCTTACTTACTAATACATAGCTAATCGTTCAAGTTTCAAACTCACACAGATATCCTGGTCGAAAACTTGAAGAACTACTTTCGGTGGCATAATTTTAATGTGTTCTCTAGTCCCATGAATTTTTACTCTTGGAAATATCAAACTTTCGTCCCATAATGGATCCAAACTTTGACGTATGACCTGTTCTCGTAATTATTCAACGATTCATCGATAAAATATTATTTTCGTCTCTTTTTTTTTGTTATTACTTTCGTAGCAACGGATGTTGGCATTAATGTTGCAACGATCTTAAAAGATTCTCGTTCACTCACACTCGTTGTCAAGGTGTATCCAGAAAATGTCACACGTACAAACGGATCCAACAAAGCGGACGTGTCCATACCAGGCTCGAAACGTCCTTGAAAAATATGTGCACGTAGTTGAAACGTCTGCAATGCAGATTATCCCCTTGCAGTTTCGAATTGGTTCATTCTCATTGCGATATTCATTTTCGCTTACCGCATTATTGATATTTGTAATATGTAGATGTATATTATACACTTTAATCCCAGTATATTCATGAACACAAAATTACGCGATTTATATGCCATCACAATTGTAATATTGTGCAAAGAAAATTGAAGAGTAATAATCAATCGTGTATTTTCAATATCATCGCGTTAAACCGAGTTACATTTGCGGGATTAAGAATTTGTCTGCATTTTTTTTTATTTTAATAAACGCGAATAAATAAATATTTCATATACAAAATGGGGCCGAAAATATACGTACAAAAATACTTGCAAGCGAATTAACGCGAGAGAAACATACAATGCATTTTGTATAAGTCATCGTTAATTATTACATCAATGTACAATAATTATTATTCATTATCTTTAGGAAGACCATTTAAATTTATTAGTCTATAATAAACTTGTTTGGTTTCATTTAATATTAATAATATAATATCGTATATATTCATTTCTTTCTATCTCATTCGAAAATTCGAATAATATGAATTAAAATACTGTAGTATTTATTAATACTCGAATGAGCAATTTTAATAAAATCTAAAATTCGCGTTAATTGAGTTAAACTAAAGAAAATAAAAAAAGGAAGAAAAGTATAAGTTGTTTAAGAGTATGTTTACCGAAGATCGATCATATTCAAAGTACTTTGGAAATGCATCGATGGTTTCTTCATGGTCCGAAATTACATAGCCTGGAGGGATCGAACTCCAACAGGAGGCTACGAACTTTGCGTTACCAAGCCATAGAAAGATTTCAATTTTGCAAGCACACTGATCGATCGTTTCACCAAACTCCATCTCCTTAGCAGGATTCTTCAGGAAAACGTTAATAGATTGTCCACACTTTTCACCTCTTTCTGCATTATCCTCAGAGTAAATAATCCTTTCAGCTGGTAATTTGACGTATGCAACGCGTTTCGAACCGGCCAACATCCAAAGGTAGACGTGCGGAAGACCGTCTTGCGGCTACGAATAAATATTTTAACTCGTTCCTCTCAATTTTCATTGATATTACTCGGTAAAAAAAAGTATGACGAATAAATAATATTTTCTTTTTTTTGATCTAAATATTTCCTTCTCATAACGGAGGATATTATTTGCTCGCTTTTTTAGCGCGTTAAAAAGAAAAAAAGAAAAGAAATAAGAAATAAGATTATTAAATCCTTTTGTAAAGTAAAGTAGAAAAAAATAGAAAAAAAGAGACGGATGAGATCGATTCATTCTCTGGGATAAACCGCACCTAAATTCGATTAGTCTCGACGGAAAGTGATAGAAAGAGACGGACACTGAACGAGATCCGAACCAGATCAGACTATGAAAAATATAAAAGAAAAAAAAGAAAAAAAGAAAAGAAAAAGGATTAAAAAAAAAATGTAACCGGAAAAAGATACGGCCATTGCCCGTCTCGTTCGTTCTAATCGAATTGAGCCCGCCGTCGTCTAATTTCTCGTTCAACGTTCTATCTATTTCAACGTCTCGTTCGGTTCGACGACCCTTCTCGCGAATTATTTCTCGCCATCGACTTTAATATTTCAAGATTCAAGTCATTCATTAAACACAATTTCGTTACGATTCTTTATTAACTTTTTCTTTTTTCTTTTCATCAACAATTTTTCTCCTCTCCTTTTCGATTACGTTTTGTCGATTTTTGTTTTTTAAATATTGAAAATATCAAACCAATTGTTTTTTCTTTTTTAAATGGAAAAAAAAAAAAATGGAAAAAAAAATACAATTTACAATTTTCGTCTTGTGTGGAAAAAATGTGAGAGAAATGATTTTTTTTTGGTTTCTTCACATAAAGAATAGAAAAACAATATTTTTCATTGGTTCAATATTTTATACGACATTTCAATTATTTATCGTTTATCACGATAATATATTTACTTACGTCCTCGCATAATCCCCGAAGTTCTCGCAAATATTGATAAGCGTGTATCATGGCTATTCCGATAAAATGGTTGTTAGGAATTTCACCGTCTATTTTGATTCTCCGGAGAATATCGTCGATTTGCTTACAGCATACATTCGCTCGATGTCGATCCAATTTGATCGTACCCCTACCACCACCACCGCCACCACCACCACCATCACCTTCCGCATCGTATCGACCATCGTCCAGCGTATGCAAATAATGCAGGCAATGGCTCTTGAACCTTCGAATAGTTTCGTTGTAAGTCTTACATGCTTTAGGATTTTCCACGGCAACTAAAGTCTCGACTTCTTCGAGTTTCTTCTCCTTAAAAATCGAATCAAAACGAGAATCATTGAAGTCTTAACGTCACCGTTAAGCCAATTCGATTGACTCGAGTAAAAATTCAAATGGAAAATTATAATCGTCGAAGAAGAAAATGTTTTTAAATTAATGATGGGATAATAAATTCGAAGGATTCGAAGGTTTCGAGAAAATTATCTACAATTCGGTAATGTCATTTTAAATTTATATTTAATTGTGTCGATCGATCTCTCTTTCGTAAAAATAACTTAGAAAGAAGTTATGGCATGGAACGAGGATTGTTATAAATTAATTTGAAGGGTACAACGTTACGAAATCGATCAAACGGTTATAAAAAATTACCACCAATTTGTAATATAATCTGAAATAATTTTTTATTTTCTTAATAATTGATCAATCTCTCGAAGGGATGATATATTAAGAAGTTAGCAATCTAACGAAGATTGGTAATAAATTTAAAAAGAAGTTCGATGTTTCAATATCGATCAAACGGTCCCAAAAGAATTATCTACATTTATTTGTAAAATCGTTTGAAATTTATTTTCAATAGTTGATTGATCTCGTAAGAATAATTTATGGAAAAATAAGGTAAGGGGGATTTGGATTGTTAATAAATTTAAAAGACGTTCGACGTTTCTGTAATCGATCGAACGATTGAAGAAAGTTACCTGCAATTTGTGTAAAATCAACTTTAAATATATTTGTAATAATTGATCAATTTAAAAATAATAACTTACTAAGTAGTTAACGATATAACGTAAATAATTAAGGTTGAAAATTCTACGTTCGAAATTGGGCCAATAAGATTTGACGTAAATGCAAGGCTTTCTAGATCCCAGTGGTAAATAATTATATTTCCCGTCGAGAGTTCCTGTTGTTCTTCGTACTGTTTGACTCGGAAAATCTTTACGTCTTTCCTCCGACATATTCCTCCTCGGTTCTATTATATTACAACAAAGAAAGTTACGTTTTACGTATTTATGAAATTGTAAATTTCACAATGACGAACTAGTGGAAAACCTTGAATATTCTCGTCGTCGTCGTTGTCGTCGTTGTCGTTGTCATCGTTGTCTTCGTCATAGTCATCGTTATTGTTTCCTGGATCACATCGATCACGTGAAAATCTTTGGTTTCCGGCATTACCAATACTCAATTCGAATACTATTGATTTTTTAGCGAATCTACTCCGATCGATCATACATACGTCGTAAAGTATACCAAGCAATACATATTCTTCCACTTTCCATAAACTTTTCTACAAGAATATCAAGTAACCGTGCTGTAAAATTACTTTGATATCATTTCAACGCTAATTTATTTTCGTTCCATCAACGTAAGAGTATTACGAGTTCTCTACTGAATCTCTTAAATAAATATTTAATTATTAATATACTTAGAGGTCGTTCTCTAAAAGTAATTTCGTTTATCGTACGGGAAGATTACGTTAGTCGCGATTTACCTAGCTTCAAATCTCTAAATTGAAAACGTCTTGAATTTTAACCATGAACAAAAATCTTCTTTTATTTATCATTAAAAAACAAAAACGAAAGAAATTACTTTCAGAACAATCTAATACTTACAATTGGTAAATTCGTTCGATGACTCCCCATTATTGAATTAAAAATTAGAAAAAATTTCAAAACAATTATTTATCCGTTAATCGATTTATAATCAAATAATTATTACTATCGATTAATTGTAAAAACATGAAATATTCAATTGATATCCCTCTGTTAATAAAACATGGTCCGAATAAAATAATAAAATCTTATCAATATAAAATGAGAAGAAAAGTAAGATAAAGTTAAGAGAGTAGGAAAGAAACATTAACCGACTTCGATAATGGGAGCAGCCGGTTCTGTTTCAATGCCGATTCTGGGCGAAGTTTCAGGATCATCCATTTCGGTTTTTAGAGACAAGAGTACTCTTCCTCGATAAAAAGGTAAGGACGAGGAGAAGCAGCAGCTGTTCCTTTCCTCTTTATTCGAAGCGTAGAAATGAAGAAAAGATGGTCCGTACGTCGGTAGAAATCCTATTGGATAAAAATCCATTCTTCTTTTCTATCTGTTTTTTATTTCTTTTTCTTTATTTTTCACGAAAATGATATCTTCTTTTTTAAAAACCAAATAACGAATGTCTTTCGCGAAAGGGGGGAAATATTTAAGGGATTTTGATGAGAGAGAAAAGAAAAACAAAAGAATAAGAAAACGGAGAAATTTATATTGGAAGAATTTTATGTAGAAAAAAAAAAAAGATACTTGTGATAAATTCTACCGTATTCTCCGGAATTGGATATTTGTCCGATATGAATAACACGTGTGGCCAGGGTACGTATACGACAACTATTGACTCGATGTTTCATCGTGATTCTAATACGCCGACAAAAGGAAGGGAAAGTTTCGGAAAAGATGATCCTCTCGTTAAATCTTGGAGTACAAGTTCGCCATAAGACTCTTGTGGTACCCTTAATAATAGCAAATCGTATTTGTCACTTGGAAATCGTGTATATGCGTATGTGCATGTATATTTACGTGTGCGCAGAATCATTCGATTAAATTTATTTGACAAATAACAATACCTTCATACCGGCGAACGATATTTGTACGTAAGGATTAATACCTCCCGTGTCACCAAAACCACAAATACTCGTCATATCCGGTAAACCATCTGCACGATAGATAGTAAAAATGTATCGAGCTCGTTGACCGAAAGGTAATGCTTCACCACCGATAGGAAGTAATAAATTTCTGAAATCATTAAAAGGAGTATACGATTGGTTAAATTTATTTATAAAATAGAAGAGAGAGAGAGAATTGAAACGAAGAATAAAAAGTCCTATAAAATTGTTAATAGTATTTCTTGATAATATAACGAAAATTTATCATAAAATTTGAGCATAGAATTGAAGGATGAATTTTCCTGTGACATTTTTTAAAGATATACGTATACTCAGGTTTTTTTTATCATTGAGATATAATTTATCCTAACCCCTCGATATCATCTTCACCCTCGGTATCTGGATAAACTCGAACTTTTCCACCTTTTGCTCTCACAGCCACGTTACACTTAACGTATCCCTTTGGTTCGCTCGATAAGCTTTTTGGATCTGTGAGCATCGCCCATTTGTGATGATACTGATGATCTATTAAAATGGACACGTTAAAAGTCCCATCGAATATCTAAGTAATCCTAACGTTATTTATTATCATCGATTTTCTTTGATCAATAAATTTGGATTAACTTGAAGTTAGGTTAAGCTTCGTAAGATATCGTTAGGTTATCATCGAACTCTTAGATCGTCTTACTTAAGAGATTGATAAAGGATAAACTATGAAATGTATTAATTAAATGTAATAAATCTTTATACCAGGTTGTTCCCACACAGCTTCAACTTCGAAGATACTACTTCCATAGAACTTCAACTGCCGTAAATAGTTTCTCAAGTAAACAGCTATTGTGATCCTCGTGGAAAGTAATGTTTCAAAGTTTCCCGCAAAATCGAAAACGAAATACTACAAATATTTCTTATATATCAAACTAATATGTAAAATTTATTAACAAAATGTTTAATTAAAATGTTTACCTCGTTATAAACCGGACAATCCGTTCCTTCTCTTACAACAGTTCTTCTCTTCTGATTACCTAATTTAACTACTACCATTGGATTAGCCAATTGCTGCAAGTGCCTCGCTTCTATGATCATCACGCATATTTGATAATTCGAATACTTTGATTTCTTCATATCACAATGATTACATCGATCGTAAACGTGCGTATTTATAAATGTTTGTCTGATTACTATTATACAGGGTGTCTTTTATTAGAATTTCTTTTCTTTTTCTTTTTTTTCATAAAAAAAACTTTGGTGTTTTCTTTTTATTTTGGAATAATCTTGAATATAAATCATAAAAATTATGATTAAAAATGTAAAATAATTATAACTCTCGTCATTGTCCGATACGTTTAGACGGGTTGATCGAGAGTACCTTTTTATATGATTAAAATAAGATGATTAATTTTGGTAGAGCCTGTATTACGTGAAGCACTCCAATTTCCTCGATCGCCAGGATAGAAATAGTATTATATGACTCGAACTATTCTCTAATGTCGTAGGTGTGCGCGAAAGTGGTTCTTACATCGATCGACCTACAAATGACCATCGCGATTTAACGTACAGCGCTCGTTTTTTTTTTTTATTATCTCCTGTAATATCAAAGAGGAAGAGTGAGAGAGAGAGAAAACAATATAGATTCAACTTAATGGATAAAGAATAAAAGACGCGAACACAAGGCTCTCGTTAAATTGCGAAACGTTTGAACGCGCGCGTCTCGTAGTAATTCCACGAAGAAATTAGTATCAATTCGTGTCACGAGGCTAACTCGAAGAAAGTATTTAACGAGGGCCGAAAAGTTAAATTGCGTTCTTTAAGACAGTAATAGACTATTAACTCGAGTGTGTTGTTCAAGTTTTTGAATGCGACAAAAATTCTAACGATTACGTACATTTAAACGAACTTCTTAATCGATTTAGTTAACAACAGTTCGTTCGTCAAGGAAGTTTCGTTGTTTTCAATTGTATGGGAAAATCGTTCCGTTCATTTTGTTTTGTCCAAGAATATGAAAAGACTCGTCGATTATAATTCCGATCATCTTTCGTTTTATTATCACAAATTCATTTCTTATTCATTAAATTTTCATTTAATAATCCATTGCCTTATCTTAAATTTAAGCAATCGTTCTAGAAATAGTTTAACTAGTCACACCTGCAAGTGGGATATCAAATTTTGTACACACACAAAGACAGAGAACAGCTTTTTAATGCTCTATTGCAACCGCCAACCGATTACTTGCAAAGTTACATTCGTAACACGTAAATCCCATTCACGCGGCGCATGAATGCAAATTACAAAGTTGAAAGTTGAACGAACATTTTGAAAATGCGATTCCCGTTTGAAATCAAATTAATTTGATGTCATTTATTTAGATGATTCGATGAAGAATAACATTGGAAAATTCAATTAACTCAATAAAATTATCTACGCGATAATTTTCCATTGAATTAACATGTAGAAAACAGATTTTGTATGTAATATCATATAAATTGATAGCTAATTTATCAATTTGATCTATTATCAACAATTTCAATCTAAAACGCATAGTAACCATTGAGCCCACAATTTACGCTATAACGAATAAATATAATATTTATGTTTGATGTATCGAAAGGCAAGTGTTATTTGTTGTTCTTATCTTCAGAAAGTAATATCTTAACTTTATTAAAAAATTCTGTTGATAATTCAATCGATGATCAGAAATGTATGTATCAGTCAACAATAAGCTGATTACAAGAAAATATTAAAAGCAAAGAATACAGACGTACAAAGAAGCTCACAAGTTCTCTTTTTTATCTATCCAGATTCATCTCAGTTACTAACCTGACCACCAGTAGGCGGTAGTAGGTAGAATACTGTATTTTTTGATAGCATTGTACCGTCATCGCGTTGAGTACATTAAGTACTTCAGACATTAAGTACATCTCCCACTGGTGGTCCCAGTAGTAACTAAAATAAAACTAGGTAGATAAAAAAGGAAACTTGTGAGCTTCTATGTATTTCTGTATTCTTTGCTATAACAGCAGAACTGTCTTACCAATCAGACGAAAATAACAAGACTTTTTTTTACCGATCGGAAGGAAATAATAGTAGAAACTCTTTTTAGTCACCGAAGTTGATAGTAGAGCTCTGTTTTGCCGATTAATCGATAATGGCAAGAAACCTTTTTACCAAACCAATCGATAATAGTAGATTGATGGTTTAAAAAACAACAAAAGACTCAAAATGATACTAAACGCTTTATGGTATGTGAGAAACGATAATAGAAAAAACATTAGGTGTTCCATCAGCAAAAGAAATGAGTATTGGCAAGAGTGAGGGAATGAATGTATGAAAGGAGTAGAAGGAAATGAGTTAATGAATTAATGTGTAGACAAACTAATATACATTACGTAAAAAATCTAAAAACAATGAAACTAGTACATGAATGAAGCAGGTTTAAGAAAAAAATATACATATAAAGGGTTGAACTTTTTTTATTACCAATGAGAACTACAGTCACCTATCCTCGCATCCTTGCTATATTTAACCGATATTTTTAAACAACTGTAAAAATTTCGCATTTATTCATTTATTCATTTATTTCGATTACATTAGTTCAATACGAATTGAATAAGAAACCAGTAATTTATATAACGAGCAACAAAGTATTAAATGTTACGCTCTATCAACGATAAAATATATATTCACGTTCAATTGAATAATAAAGTTTATGATTGATTTGCGCTGAAGTGCATGTTCATGTTTCGTCTACTCGTATAACAGCAGTATACTCGTCGACGATATACTGGTATAGTGAAAGGATTGAGATACACACAATTCAATTACTCATATTTATTAAATAATTAATAAATCCTATCCTAGATACACTTTTAATTACTAAATCAATCTGATCGTAGACGTATCCATCATTGAACCCATTTTATTCTTATTGTTAGATAATAATTTAATTGTATACATAATAATAATAATAATAATAATAATAATTAATATATGTACATTTATCGCTTTATTCATTATGAAATATTTCAATCGTTACCGTTAATCAAGCAAAGTATTATCCAACACTTTTACTTGATGTCCTCGTCACTTTGACTCGGAGACCAGTTAACGTAGGAGTCCTGCTGTCAAACACACATGCGCTTTTCGCACATCAACTTCATGGTCATTTATTTACAAGAATACAAAGAGAATCCCAGTGGAAATAATGTTTACACATACCTTCCTCTTGTTTGTCTCTCAACGATAGGGTGAAAGCAAAAGCACAGGAAGTACATTAAAACCACTAGTATTTTATTATTACCAACATTATAGAAAAATTATATTCGATGTTGATACATTTCTATCTTCATTTGTATTTTTATAAAAAAAATATATGTATATGAAAGAACGATGCGACCAAGCTTGACAATATTTATCTACTATTTATTGTATAACAAGAGACATTATCGGAAAGGAAATTTCCATGATAAAGGGAGAGAAGTCAGGACAATATCAATAACGAATGACGCGAAATGCGATACGTTCGAACTCTCTAACTGTATGTGCTCATCGTGTAAAGCTAGCTATTTCTATTGTAGATACGAAATACCGAGAACTATGGGAGGGTGTTCACGCGATTCCGAGACTATTATGAGCGCGAGGTTTAGATCGACACGTGTCACGATGGGTAATAAATTGGCATCATTTGACATTACGAACGTGGCCCTTTCATGAAGCCCTTTTAGAAGTACATAATCCTCTCATCGATTTGTCCGCAATTTGTAGTTAGCGAGTTCTTAAGTAATACCATATTCTAAAGTCATTAAAATTCTTATCCGTCAAAATATTACAATTAAATTAATCAAACGAAACATTTTTCGATTCTCTCGAAAGATCTTCGTAAAGAAATGAAAATAAGAAACGCAGTCGTAAAAAAAGAAAGTGCAAATATTTGTATAATACTATGTTAGGATAAATAATGTTAATGGAGTTCTGTGCGAAAAAGAAAAGAAAGGTTCCAACTTGAAAGGTATAGTAAAAAAAAAAAAGAAGAAAAAAAACAGAAAGAAAAAGAAAAAAAATCTATTCCTGGTCGCATTAGCGGTAGGTTTGTAAGTTACCCCGCTAACTGGTGGAAGACACGAGGACGTAACGCGTGGCTTCTCTATGGGGGGGCTACACGCACCGTTGGGGGTGTTCGTTATGTTCGCGAGTCCTTTGAAGGGGTCACGTGGCCGCGGCGTGCCACCGGCGTCCCCCTTATACCCGATATCGTATTTGTACAACACGCACTCCGTACGGGCATCCATTATTGCAATACGCTTGTTTGTGTGTTTAGCGAGTGGCTTTGTACGTATGTTAGTATGCATATACGAACCGATTTCTAGCTCGTATTCCACCCTCTCCTCGTTCTTTCTCGTTCTCTCTTTTACTTTCTAAAACTAACCCCCTCCCCCACCCCTCTTCACCACCACCACTCGTCGAAAGTCCTCTTCTTGTTGAGTTTTTTCACACACTTGTGTCCTGGCATCGATTCGAATTGTCGGAGTAGTATTATTGTGCTTCGAAACAATGAGAAAGAGAAAGAGAACTCGCCTTCCGTGGATGCTTTTTTCTTTTTTTTTTTTTTTTCAAAAAGATAAAGAGAGAAAGAGAATAATAAGTAGAAGGTGGGGGTGGAATTGTAGGAGGAAAAGAAGGAGAAGGAGGTAGGCAGCAGCAGCAGTTTTGTTTCGTTTCGACGGATCACGTGGGAAACGTCATGATTTTTTTTCTCTTGATTCTCTTATAGAACAAGAGAATAAATCTAAAGCCGATCGCTATATTGTGGGAGACACCGAACGATCTTTTCAACCTTTCCAAGAGACTCGATCTCGGTGTTCTCTTAATTGACTGGTAAATTTATCCTTCTATAGTCTAGATGAATATACAATTGTGTACGCGTGTCATTATTTTTAAAGATTTGACGTTAATACAATCGCGTATGACTTTATCATGGAATCGTGTGGATTATCAAGTTCAGATTTTAAACACGTCATCGGTATAAAAATTCACATATTTGTATTTTAAATATTTGTATAATTCAAAATCGTATAACAATCAATTTCATTGATTTGAGTGACTTAACACAGGATACAGGTAAATCCGAC